GCTCGGTCGAGCCGAAGGCATATGCCTTGGCTCGGCTGAGCCGCGCTGAAAGCCGAAGCTGGCCAAGCGGCCGGCCATTGGCCGGCCGACACCCTGCTTCTGACAGCTGGGCGGAGCCAGCCATTATCTTACGGCTGGCTCCGGCCACTTGCAGAGAGATCAGCATCCCTGGTTACCAGCTATCCAGGGACACTGATCTCATGACAGCCTAACTCTCCCTGGCGCTCATGGAGTCTCCCGCTCCCGGCCGCCAAGGAGAGAAACACTGCTTTTTCTTTTGTTTTTTTTCTGACACGGACCCGTGTCAGAATAGAAAAAAAATATATAATTTTTGGCCATAGGAATTCATTGCTAGATTCCTATTGGCTATTTCAATTTGCAATAGCCAATAACAAACTAGCATTGCACCCACCCTGTGCTGCAGTTCTCCATCAGGTCCACCACTACTGATTGAGGGTGGTTACAATAGCTAGTTTGCTTTTGGCTATTGCAAATTGAAATAGCCAATGGGAATCTAGCAATGCATTCCTATGGCCAAAATTTATTTTATTTTTTTGTGTCATAATAAAGAAAAAAAAAGAAAAAGCAGTCTTTCTCTCCTTGGCGGCCGGGAGCGGGAGACTCCCAGATCGCCCGGGAGAGTTTTTTTTCTTTTTTTGACAGCAGCAGAACCGCCCGCCAATAGAAAACAGTTGGGCAGAGCTAGCTGTCACTGCTAGCTCCGCACAATCATTTTCTATTTATTTTTTTCTACTTTTTAAACAATTTTCTGTTCTGCTCAGTACCACAGAGGGACCGAGCAGAACAGCCGAGCCGAATGCCACTCAGCGGCATTCGGCTATTCACTCACTGCTGTTTGGCATCTATAAGAATAGACCGAACAGCAGCGAGTAGCCTGCCGGAGGTTCGGCTTAGCCGATCCAGATGTTGGATCGGCTAAGTCGAACTCCTTCTGCACTTTGGGTCGGCTGAATATGCTGAGCATGTTCGGCCAACCCGAAGCTACCCGATGTACGGCTGATTTCAGCTGATATACGTCTGAAATCAGCCATACCAGCCTGAAGTGAATAGCCTAACATCGTTCGGCTCACTTCGCTTTAGGTCAGTCATTCACTTGGCTGACTACGGCAGCTTAGTGAATAGACCCCTTAGTCTTATTTCCAGTATCACTGACAGGGGTACTGGGAAGGAAAGTAAAAACAATTCTGGGGAACAAAGCCAACATTTATTTTTTGGGCAAGTGGATAAGAGTAAAATCTCTGTTTGTGTCCTGGTTCAAAAGATTTCCACCTATTTCCTGTCCCAATGTCAGTAGAACAGGAATTGAGAGCAAGTGAAGAAAATAGATAGGAAAAATTGATGGTTGTCTTTTATACTGTGCCCAAATATTTAGAAGAGATTTTAACTGGCATTCCATTTAAAATAGAGTTAATTTAAAATCTATTATATGTTTTTACATTATGTCCCCTTCCTCATGGCTATTCTTTGTATAAAAACAACGTATATGTAATATATCATATTCATCAGTGTCACATTTAATGCTACAATATTTACTCATATGTAATAATAGGAAAACAGCAATAAAAGATTAAGCAAGCTCTAAAAGAGACAAATCAGCTTGAAGCATGTTGATACATTAAACCTTATGTACATAATCATAGTGGGTTAGACCCTAGGACAGTAAAATGCTTTTAGTATATTGACTAGGGTGGCCTACATAATATTTCCTTTCAGTTGCTTGGGCAGCTGTTTCTAGCTTAATTAAATAATTCCTCATATGTACAATATGTTATATAAACTAAAAAAGCTTTATATCTTGTAAACACACATGAACATACAGTATTTATCCTTTATTTACATTTCCTTAAAGGACAAAACAAACTTTTTTTCTTAGTGCATCAACTCATATTTGTTCTGCAAACTGGAGTAATTTTTCTTTAAGGAAAAAAAAAACGAAAATGAAAGAAAACAAAAAATATCACAGAACACTGAACAAGAAAAATTAGCTAATCTGAATAGGCAAAGTTCGGACTGAGCTTAACATTGGTCCAAACCCTATTCCTGTTGTCTAAGTGTATTATGTAATCAATGTGGAAAGTTGACTTCTGCAGTGATTGTCTTGTAATTGACTTTTTATGTTTTAGTCACAACAAAAAAAACTGATTCCATAGCCAAATACTGTATGTGCTGCCAGTATATGCTGTAGCTGTGACTGTGCGTGAGAATTTTCCTATTTCATCACACCACATTCCCCAAGCATGTTATTCAAATGATTTGTATATTTTCAATGTTGCCTTGGAAGCCTCATGAAAAAACACTATCCCTGCTGCAAGCTATTTAATTTTTTTTTTCATTGGTACATGTCCCCTAGGGCACTGCCCAGATTTTTTTAACAGTGGTTTGCCTATAGGCCCTAATAGCCAGGGCGTACTATCAATACTTCAGTATTGTTCAAATGCTGTACTGAGTTGTGTTGTCCTGGTTTCAAGCAGGGTTTAAACCCTTCGTGACGGGAGACGTACAGTGTACGTCCCGGCACTTTGTGCTTATATGACTGGCCACGTACACTGCACGTGACGAGTTATATCAGGCTTTGTAATGCTGCTAACAGCTGATTCTCAGCAGTTGCCAGTCATTAATGAATGCCTCAGTATTGAGGCATTCATTAATGAAATAATTAAGCTTTTTGTAGCTAGTAATGAAAGAATGAAGCCGGTACAGAAACTGAAAACTAGCTCAGTCATGAAGGGGTTAATGAACCACTTTCACCCACCGGGAAGCCATAATGCACAAGTGTAGCGCATTACGCACCTGCATGACATCATCATGTGTGCGTGACATCATCATGTACGCGTGTAATGATGTTATGCGCAGTTAACTCGGTGATGGATGCCGGCAGAGAGAGAGGATGGGACGTCTCTTCTCTTGTACAGCTGTCGGCCACTCTGTCCATGACCGAGTGCCCAGCTTTTAAGAGTGGGTGACATAAAAATTATCATTTTGGTTTCACCCCTTCTGATGGTGTAAGCCGGTGCAGGCCACACCGTCTGCACCCCACTTGTGATGCCACTGGCCCTGGGCAGATTCGCTCATTCCTACTGATGCGAACATGGATTAGTGAGTCTGCCAACTAAACCAGTGCCCCAAACTGGCCCAGTTTCCCACACAGGTGCTCCCCTACTTCATCATGCCAATTACCATATTTGTGTCCCAA